CTTCCTTTCTTTCTTTTTTTCTTTCTTTCTTTCTTTCTTTCTTTCTTTCTTTCTTTCTTTCTTTCTTTCTTTCTTTCTTTCTTTCTTTCTTTCTTTCTTTCTTTCTTTCTTTCTTTCTTTCTTTCCTCTCTTTCTTCTCTCTATCTTTATGTTGGTGTTATGGTATAAATTATTCTCCTGGTTCTGCTAATTTCATTCTGTTTCAGTACATACAAATGTTTTCAGGTTTCTCTGAAATCACATCATTCTTCAATTTTTTTATAGTACAATAGTATTCTATTATCTTGATATATTATAATTTGGTCAGCCATTCCCCAATTGATGGATATCCCTTTAGTTTATAGTTTGAAACCAAACCAAAACAAGCAGCTATCAATATGTTTGTGTGTATTGGACCTTTCCTGTCTTTGATCACTTCGGCTTAGTAGTGGTATTTCTGAGTTGAAGGACAGTAGCTTCATACATATATTTCCAAATTACTTCTGGAATGGCTACACTAATTCATAGCTCCACAAACAGTGCATTGTTGTGCCTGTTTCCCCATAGTCTCTCTAACATTTGTCATTTTTCTTTCTTTCTTTTTTTTTGGTCAACTTTGGCAATTTAATGATTATGAAATGTACCTTCAAAGTTGTTTTAATTTGCATTTTTCTAGTTATTAGTTATTTCAATGATTTTTTCATCTAACTATGGATAGTTTGCTTCTCTTCCTTTAAGAACTTTTTGTTCATATTTTTTGACCATTTATTTAGGCAGCTAGATGGTACAGTAGCTAGAACACTGGACCTGGAAATATGAAGACCTGAGTTCAAATCCAACCTATAATAATTATAAGCTGTGTAACCCTGGGCAAGTCAATTAACTTCTGTCTTCCTCAATTGCCTCATCTATAAAATGAGAATAATAATAGCATCTACCTCCCAAGGTTGTTGTGAAGATACAATGAGATAATATTTGTTAAGAGATTTGCAAACCGCCAATCACTCTATGCAAGCTGTTATTATTGTTATTATTATCAATAGGTGAATGGTTCTTATTCTTATGAAGTTGAGTCATGTCCTTACATATCTTCGAAATAATAACATTATCAGGAAAAACTGGACTACAAAGGTTTCCCAGCTTAATTATTTACTTTCCTCTAATCTTATCTGCATTGAATTTGTTTGTGCAAAAAACTTTTTAAATTTATGTAGTCAAAATTGTCCGTTTTATGTTCAATGATTTTCTCTACTCCTTGTTTGGTCATGAATACTTCACTTATCCACAGATCTGAAAGACAATATCTTGCTTGTTTTTTTAAATTTGTTTATGATATGACCTTTTATGTCTAGGTCATGTATCCATTTGGAGCTTATCTTGGCATACTTTATGAAGTGCTGGTATAAACTAATTTTTGCCAAACTGCTTTCCAGTTTTCCCAGGAATTTTTGTCATATAGTAAGTTCCTACCCAGGAGATGGAGTCTTTGAGTTTATTGAACACTAGTCTACTGGGTTTGTTTGTTTCTGAATGTTATGTACTTAATCCATTCCATGATTAACCTCTATTTTTTTTGAACCAGTTACCAAATTATTTTGATGACTATACTTTCTGGTATATTTTGAGATCTGCTACTGCTTGGCCCTCTTCCCACTTATTTTCATTATTTTCCTCAAGATTCTTGACCTTTTGTTCCTAGGAGATAGATTCTTAGCTAAAGAAGTGATAGAGGCAATAACAAAGGATAACATAGAAAATTTAATTACATGAAAATGAAAGGCTTTTGTATGAATAAAATCGGTGCATTAACAGGTAACTAGGGAAATGGTAGACTGGAAAAAATGTTTTGTTGTATGTCAAGTAAGGGCTTGGTATCCACGATATAACAGACAACTAGCAGAAATATTTAAGACTAAAACTCATTGTGCAGTTGATTACTGGTCAAAGGATATAAACAAATAGTTCTCCAAAATAAAATACAAACTATTAATAATGATACAAAAGAATACTCTGAACCACTAATGTTGAGAGAAATTAAAATTAAAACAACTCAGAAGTTTCATCTTAAAGCCATCAAATTAGCAAAGATGACAAAAGATAGAAATAGTCAATTTTGAAGTGATTGTAGAAGGAGAAAGCATACAAATGTATTTTTAATAGAACTGTGAATTAGTGAATGTTTCTGGAAAACAATTTGGATTATACAAATACAGTGGTTAAAATGTCCATACCCTTTCACCCAGAGATTCCATTGCTAGGCAAATACCCCAAGTAGGTCACTGATTTAAAAAAAAAAAGGGTCCATGTGCATATGTGTGTGTGTGTGTGTATCATGTATCCATAATTTTTGTTGCAGCAATGAGCTTCAAAGTTTTTCATTGATTGGGGACTGGTTAAACAAATTATACATGATTGTAATGGAATATTGCTGTGCTGTAAGAAGTGACAAATTGGATTCATACAGAGAAACATGAATTTATATGAAATGACAAAAAAATGAAGTAAGCAGAGTCAAGGAAACAATATACATAATTATTCCAACAATTTAAGTGGAAGGAACAACAGCCCAAAGCAATAAAAAATGAATGTAACAGAAATGCAAAGAATAAGGTTGACCTGGAGAAGATATAAGAGAAAGAACCTTTTCCCACTTCCACAGTATAGACTGGGGAGGAGGGTGTCTACACATGTGAAAAATTCCATATAATGTCAGATTTACACACACACATACACGTGTATATAAAATTGGTTTTGCTGATTTTTTTTCCTCTTCTTTTTTTAAAAAAATTCTTTGTTATAAAAGATTGCTTTCTGAGAAAAGAAGGAAGACCACAAGTGGAAAATCAGGCAATATAAAAACAAAAGATATCAGTAAAATATTAGAAAAAGAATTCTTTGTCTCATTTCTTTAATTCTTCAAGAATTCTCAGCATACTGTCATCTCTTATTCTTGTATTTACCTTTCATTCTGTGCTGGAAATTGCCTAATGTACATTTTGCATAATAAACTTTGGCCTTAACAAAAAGCAGCATTTGTAAATAGCCAACTTTTCTTTTGAATTTCAAAAAGAAATTATACAGAAGAATAATCTTCCCTATCTCCAATTTCTTCACAGCCAGTGTCCCATTGATCTGGGCCATTTTGATCTAGCTATGTTGAATCGGGATTCAATAGACAAAATTCCTTTATTGGTTATTCTTTCATAGATTATATAATCTTAAGAACTACGTTTTGACTGACTATAATTTGATTATACTGTTTCTCACTGACTAGGGGTATCTGAGTGATGGTCACAAGTATTCCAGTTTATGCTTCTTACTTCCTCTAGCTGGGGCTTTGAAGAACTAGGAAAGAGTAAATTTAGTTCAGCCTTTTAAGGAACTAACTTCTATTTACCTCTCTGGCAAGTATATTCATCTTTTTCAGTAGGATCAATGTTTCTTCAACATAATCCCATTGTAGTCTAGCTACACATAGAAAAGGCTTATTTCTTATCTTAGTGGGAGCACTGGCATAGCAGATGTGGATGAAACATCTCTGAAGAAATCCTTCAGTCATTAACTAAAGTCCAATACCTGGAAATTTCTATGCTTTGCTATTTTAGGCAAATTTATTTTCATTGCTATCCTGGAGCCTTTTATTTCTGGATTTTCTTCACTATGGTATAGAAGAAAAGTACAGAATTGTAGCTGGGGCAAATAATAGAGGGTGAATAAAAAGTCTGGCAGAATACTGAAATATTCAGGAGCCTAGAGTATGTTGAAAGTACAGAGAACAGTTAAGAAAACAAAAAGTGGAATGATTCCTAGTTATTGCCAGTTCCTGGTCTAATAACTTAATCACAGGGTAAGTTGACCCTGTATGAAGCAGCTTCATTCCTTACTTGGCTTGGTGTAGTCAAGGGAGCAGCATGAGGCCGTGGATCAAAACTCAAAGGAAATAGTGACCTTGCATGGCATTGCAGATGACCTTCTTTTCTCCCTGGTCACATCCTACTGTCTTATCCTATGTCCTCTACTGACTCTACTCTTCCTTCTCCCTTCCCCAATCATAGTAAATGTTCATGTCCATTTTTGGGTGTGTCTTATTCATTGATTTAAAGGGGCCACTGCTAGAACAGGTTAGAGGACTTCATAAATACAACTGACCTGCCATTTGAACCTTTCACCCAAGTCTGGCAGCCCACATTCTTTCATCTAGCCCATCTTCCTGCTTTGCAGTCTTATTATCAGGAGTCAACCTTTAGAACCAAAGAATCTTAGTTGTTTCATGCTTCAAGCCTCCTCATCTGGAACATCTCATTTGGGTTGTTAACTCAAGTGTAGTCTCCCACTTAGTGCTTATCTCTAATTGAGTGATGAAGCTTGGCTGTTGACCTTCATTCCTGAAAAAAATCAAAATGACATCACTATGTTGGGGGTCAAGGTACAGTATGTCTGACTGTGGCTGATCAGACCAAGATGAGCTCGGGAGGCTCTACCACAAGTTGAGCACAAATAGTCCATGTGATGAAAGACAGTGCCCTTTTAAAAGTATAAAGGGAGTGATGAGGGGAAAATTTCTGATCTGCTAGACTGGATCTTTTCCATGGAGCTGGACATATGTGCTCTGGCTCTATTGGCAAGAGAAATGTACACTGGCCTAGCCCTGAAGAAGTTGTGCTTTGGAATAACACAGCTGCTTATTGATCCCTGTGGACTTACACTTTGGTATGATGTAGCAATGTTTTATTGATCTCTGAGGACTTGTACTGTGGCATGACAAGGACCATTCCAATGAGCATGTGTAGAGATATTCTTTGTCATGCCAAAGTGGGAATACCTAGGGCTAATAAGAGATTTTTGGTTCTTCCTAAAGTGTAAGACATTTAACACTAAGCCAGATCATTAAATTGTAAGCTTCTTGAAGGCAGGGACTGCTTTTGTGCTTTTTTTTTTTGTATCATTATTGCTTAGCACAGTGCCTGGCACAAAGTAAGTGCTTAATAAATGTTTATTGGTTGCCATATCTTTTCCCTCAGATATAGAACATATACCCAGTTCTATGGGAGGTACTCCAGGCTGGCAGTTTAGAAGCTCTCTCTGATCATCTCTGTTGCAAAGGAATTCATAAGGATTGCCTTGCAGGTAATAAAAAGAGTTGTTTGGCTGGAGGAGGGGGAGGGCTGTTTATTAAGAGTTAAGGCCTATTGATAAATGGTCAAAGAATATGAACAGACAGTTTTCCAATGAGGAAATCCAAGCAATTTATGGTCATATGAAAAAATGCTCTAAAATTATTGATTAGAGAAATTCAAATTAAAACAACCTTGAGATATCATTTTACACCTATCAGATTGGCTAAAATGATCAAAGGGGAAAATGACAGATGTTAGAGGAGATATGGAAAAATTGAGACACTAATTTATTCTTGGTGGAACTGTGAACTGATCAATCCATTTTGGAGAGCAATTTGGAATTATGCCTGAAGCATTATTAAATTGTCTGTACCCCTTTACCCAGCAATGCAACTACTAGGTCTATTTCCAACAGTGGTTAGGGAAAAATGAAAAAAAACAGTATATGTTCTAAAATATTTATAGCAGCTCTCTTTGTGGTGGCAAAGAACTGGAAATTTCAGGAATGCCCATCAATTGGGGAATGGTTGGACAAGTGGTAGTATATGATTGTGTTGAAATGCTACTGTTCTATAAGAAATGATGAGCTCAATGATCTTTGAAAAGCATGGAAAGATTTGCACAAAATAATGAAGAGAGATGTGAGCAGAAACAAGAGAACATTGTATACAGTAACCGCAATATTAAGAACAACTTAGAGTGACTAAGTAATTTTGACTATTATAGATACCCAAATTAGCTACAAAGGAACTATAAAGGAAGATGCTATCTGCATCCAGAGAAAGAACTGACAGATAAAAGTAGGTATAGAATGATGTTACATATATGTGTGTGTATATATACATATACATATATGTACGCATGCATACATATGTATGTATAAACTATATATGTCATATATATGTATACATATACTAGTGTGTAATGGTAGCCATCTCCAGGGTGGGGGTGGGAGGAGAGGAAAGAAAAAAAGGGAAAAAAAGAAATTTACATAATTTCATAATATATTTAAAAGGAATAGCAAGTTGCACACTTTTCTACTATGTTATAGAAATGCTTGTTTTATTTCATAAATTAAAAATAAAATAAATAAAATTAAAAAAAGAGTTAAGGCTTAGATAGCCTATGTGTTGCATTGGTGTGTACATACTGTCAAGAGGTCTAGAACCACCTTGTCAGTGCTGGGAATAACGGACTGGCTGCTAAACGGAATTTAGACCAGTTAGGATTTATTGAGTCTGCCACTGGGAAGTCTCACCTGAAGAGACAGATTCTTCAAATGAATAGTATATGTAGTTTACATCAGTTTTAGAGGGTAAGAACAGAGCAAAGCTGATTTGTCAAAGTTATTGCTGAGGCTCCAGGCTGCTTTGGTGCAATAACCCTTCTACCCTGTTTCAGGTTAAGGGTTTCTTCCAGAATGGAGCATAGCAGGAGGTGGGGGGTGGGGCTAGGCTGTTCCTCAGAACAGGTTGCACAACAGGATACTACCGCACATTCTTTTCTGGGTTACTTGCATTGCAAGTACTAGGGGAAGAGTATAGACATATGTATGAACATAATGGAATGATTCCAAAGTGGAGTAGCTCTGGATCCACCCCACCCCAATATATTGGGTGAAGGAATTATAGGAGAACATGGACAAGAGTGGCACAGGATAAGAAGACCTGGATTGATTGTGATTTCCATCATTGATAAATACCAACATTGATGAGATCTCAGATCCATTGAAATATTGCAGTGTCTTGGAGGCAGAGGTTTGTTCCTGAAATCACTCTGCATGGACTGTGAGTTCCTCTACCCATGTATAGATTCTTCCTGAATATTGTTTATTTCCATAATGACACTTGCTTTGGATAAGAGCTTCATTAATTCTGCTGCCTATGGATATAAAGTGAGGATGGAAAAATCTCTATCATTTTGGGTTAGTAAACATGTGGTGCTTATTTTCAAGGATATACCAGGAATAGAAAATCAGAGTCTAACCCTCATAAAGCAGTAAGGAAATTGAAGGCAATTTGTTGGTGATAGTGAGTGGGCTAGATCAGCTTGGAAGTTATTTCCTACTAAGGTTTTAAAGGGGAAAGTGTTTCCTTTCTTTGCAAACATTTCACTTTCTCTTTCCATTTATTTTATGTTCCTTGTAGCAAACTACGTATTACTTTAACCAACATTGAAATGAAAAACATAGAAGAATTTTTTCAGTGAATTCCCTGCACATCACATAAACATATAATCCCCTTTAGGCAACCAGTTTCCTTAGGCTTTCTTCTCTCTCTTCCTGTATCAGAATCTACTCTCAGAAAAGGATCTGTTGTTATAGATCACATCATCTTACAATTGGAAGGGACTTTAGAGACCATCTACTTCAACCTCTTACCTGATAAAGAAATGTTTGCTACAGTATCCTTGAGAGATGGTTCTCTAGTTTCCCCTTGAACATTTATAGTTATGGGGAACTCACTACTTAACATAGACTATGTTGGGGAGCTTTCATTTTTAGATAATTCTTTCTCATATTGCACCAAAATCTGAGTTCCTATCACTTCTATTCATTGGTTCTCGTTCTGCTCTTAGGGATAACATGGAGTATGTCGATCTCCATACTATATCAACCCTCCAATATCTGAAAATGCCCATCACCCTCCTTCTAAATCTTTTCTGCTATAGGCTTAATATACTTTGTTCCTTCAGCTATTCAGTGTGTAACATGTTTCAAGTACCCTTATTGTTCTAGATAAACTTATTTGTTAATAAATCTCTTAAAATGTGGTTCTTCATGATACTAACTACTAGGATAGTGATTCCTTATTTGATAAAAATTGTTAGGAAGTTGAAAATGTCTGGCAAAAATTAAGTTTAGACCAAAACATATATACCACTGACCATATGTTTAACATATATGATAATTATCATATATACCATGATAAACACCAAATAGATACATGACCTAAATGTAAAAGGTCATATTACAAAGAAGTAGAGAACAAAGGAAAGAAATATTTCATAGCTATAGCAATGGAAAGAATATTGACCTAAACAAGGAATAAAGTTGATTATAAAAGGTAAAATAAAGAATTTTAATTGTATAAAATTGAAAAACTTTTGTGCAAGGAAAAATGTACTTTGAATTAGAAGGCAAAATTTTAATTAAAAAAAATCCTCACATTTGATATTTCTGATTAAAGTCTAATTATCAATCTGTTGACCAAAAAGCACTTATTACAAACCTACTGTGTGCCAAGCATTGCACTACGCACTGGGGAGACAAATAATAAAAGAATGAAATAATCCTTACTTTCTTCTTCTTCTTTTTTTTTTTTTTTGGTGAGGAAATTGGGGTTAAGTGACTTGCCCAGGGTCACACAGCTAGTAAATGTCAAGTGTCTGAGGCTGGATTTGAACTCAGGTCCTCTTGACTCTAAGGCCAGAAGCCCTATCCACTGCACCACCTAGGTGCCCCTAATCCTCACTTTCAAGGAGCTTAACAGCCAAGATACACAAAGAATTGATACAAACGTATAAGAATAAGAGCCATTCCCCAGAAGATAAGTTGTTAAAGGATATGAAAAGGTCCTGTATGAAGAAATATAAGCTCCAACCATATGAAGGGATGCTCCAAGTCACTAATGATAAGAGAAATACAAATTAAAACAACTCTGAGGTTGCTCTTGGAATCCACTGACACAATCATGATGGGTCAGGTGTTATGTACCCAGAATAATAAAGTGATGTAGAAAGATGAGTACTGAGAAAGGTAAATGCACAATCATTTCTATTTGGTTGTTGGCCATGTTCAAAGACAGAAAGCTAAAATCTTTTGTCTGACCAACACAGTGTGAAAATTAGGTTCAAGGTCTGGATTCTCTTTGTAGACCATAATGTAGACAAATAAGAGTTAACTTTGTTGATGCTTTCAGATTCCCGTTAGCTTGGAGAATTTAGAGCTATTTGAATTGACTGATCAGACAACTTAATATGAAAGTCTTCCTTGGCTAAGGACCATTCTTTGATACTCTGTGCCTCTATGCTTGTAATATATTCTTTTCTTTTCTTCACCTATTCATTCCTCATAACTTAATTCAGATGCACCATATCCATGAATCCTTTCTTCCTCCAATTGGGTAATGACTTTTTCCTTTAACATAGCACTTAAAAAAACCCTGTCTAATGAACAAGTCATTTATTTTGTATCATAGTTATCTATGTACACATCATATCTGTTTTATCTAAACTTTGTATCTCTTCAGCACTTGAATTCTGTAGGTGCTTAAAGTTTTAAAAAGTGAATTGAGATCAAGTTCTTCCTCTTTCTCCTGATGGTTGTTCTTGTTCTGACTGGAAATTTGCTTTTATTTTCCGAGAATTGAGTGCAGCGGTAATTGGGTTATTGATGGGAAGGAGGCTTTTTCTTGTTAGGTAACTAAGAAGTGGGAGGGGAGTGCATTCTTAGTTTGATCACTACTCAAACAGTTAGGGGGTAAATAGGTGGCAAATGAGAGGGGCAATATTGAGGCCACCCATATACAGCTTCTGTCTCCTGAGAGATAGAGAATAAATTGAAATGAAGTCTGGCATTATGGATTAGGTTTCTTTGTTGCATTTCAGACTTGCTAACATACCTGGAGTTTCTGTTTTCTCAGTTTATAGTCACCTGAGAACTTCAATTTTCAAGTCAATAAGATTTCTGGGGAACTGGCTGTATAATTTGAGATCTCCATGACAATCACAGGATTTTTTTTTCCAGGTGGTTGACAGAGAGGAGGTGGTATACTGCTGTTAATTTTCAAGTGACAGTTTTGAACATTAGGCGAATGTGAAATCTATTGATCTTTGTATGACCGCTTACCTCAACATCAGTCTGTGGTCTGTTATGGGAATTCTGTGCCCTTCCTTACTGCCCCACTCTAGTAGTTAGACTCCTATCTTCGGTGCAAGTACTTACCTAAGTCTTACGTGGATCTCTTGATGAAACTTGCTTAGAAGAAGTGGGACTGAACTCCAGCAGAA